AATTTATTTTGTGGAACTCAAAAGAATATATTGTGTATTGACAAAATATTTCTTTAAACCGTTAAAATATTTTCAAAATCTTATTTTGTGTTCCGTAAAAGAAAGAAAGTCATACAGGTTTGAAACGACATGAGAGTGAATAAATCATGACATAATTAACATTTTTGGGTAAACTATCCCTTTAAGTAGGTCTTCATCATTTCCTGTTTTATCATCCTTTTAAGTGCTATTTTATGAAGCATTTTATGCCTTTGTTAGTGGAATGTAATAATTGCTATCACCAAAGCATAGCGTAACCAGGTGTAAAATATAGTAATTTTCACAATTTGGGCCCGCTCACTCTGAAAGGGAAAAAGAAGAGCACTAATTCACACATTACATTATGTTCTCTGTGTCTGTAGGTAATCCAGGGTCTCGAGGTCTGCCAGGACCCAAAGGTGATGCGGGCAACAGAGGTCCAACTGGGGCTCCAGGGTCTAAAGGAACAGCTGGTCTTCCAGGTACTTTAAACCAGAGGTGGGGGACTCGAGTCACATGACTTGACTCGAGTCACAAATTGAAGGACTTGTGACTTGCTTGACTAAATAAAGAAAATGACTTGACTTGGACTTGAGATCCAGTGACTTGACTTGACCTTCATGACTCGGCAGGACTTGACTTTATAACAACTCTAATTATTATTATAAATCATTGCGACATAATTTGGTAAACAAAACGCAAGCCACTGAACCAGCGGCAGAAGTGATCAGAGTCTGCGCAGTTCATGACACTGCACAAGTACAGGAACACAGCGCGCCAAATACAGGGAGCAAGAGAATCTCCCGAGATGTTTGGATAAACACTTCAAAATTTTATGCATTTGCTGTATGCATTTACAAAGCCAGGACGTCAGCACTTCAAAAAGGAAAGGTATGTAAGCTTGTTCCGTTAGTTGAAAACAGCATTGGTCTTAAAATTCTGCTTACGTCTGTCATTAAATTAAAGTGATTATAAATTATTAATCTCGTGTTTGTAATTAACGACGTCAAACTTTAAATTCGCCGGCGTTTGCTTCTCAAAACAGTGCTTTAGTGTCAAGCATCCCTCTTTGTAAATCAATATATGGAATTGTACCACGGAAACCACAGTTTTTTAGTAGGCTTATCATTTCATATTTCTATATTCCATTTTTTTTATTAATATTTTAAATTCCAACAGAACAAACAGAAAACAAAAATGAAGCAAAACAAAAAGCTTAGGCAGACCTTAAATGCACAGCTGTCAATTTAGTTCTTAATAAGATAAAATCTAAGAAATCGATAAGTTACAAGGGAAGATACATAAACATTAACAGCAATAGGCTTCTTGTTTTGAGTCATGACAAGAGTTTTCAAGAACAATGTAGGCAATCATGCAAAGTGAAAGAAACAGTCCAAATAGGGTGTCTATATCCGATAAAAATTGTAGTCAGCATATTATTTTAAATTGAATAGCATGTTGTGTTACACACTGAAATTCTTTAGCGTGCTCCCAGACTGAATCCCAGTCGCTGGAGATATTTAGTGCAAAATCATTTTCAAACATTTGTTAAATATAAATATTATCTGTGTCTCCTAGGATGGTCAAACTCAATATAACAAATATGAGATACATATTTTTATCTTGTATTTTTATCAATATTTTCTCAATTACAGACTTATCGGTATATAAAGTAGTATTTTGCCATTATTATTATTTAAAGCTGCAGTCCATAACTTTTTTTGGTTAAAAATGATGCGAAATCATTATTTGAGCAAGTACATGACCAGCCAGTGTTCAAAACTATCGCCTTACTTTAGCCCGATTCACAACGGTTAGCTTATAATAATGTTTTCTAATTTGAGTGGTACGTGTAGGTTTTCGTGGGAAATTCAAGCATGGCACTGCGTCATTACGTCACGTCTGTAAACAAAGAAGTTGTCCCGGCTAGTTGGCTATATCGCATGTGAGGATCCTACAGGTGGCAGATCGTTTATAGCAGGGCTGTCCAAACTCGGTCCTGGAGGGCCGGTGTCCTGCAGAGTTTAGCTCCAATTTACCTCAACACACCTGACTAGAAATTTCACATTAAGAATTTGAGAATAAAGTTTTACAAGAATAATAAGCACGGTTTGATGTGATATGAGCTAATTTGGATTAAATCACCATTGGTAGCCGATTTATTGTAATGTTTTTTTCCTCAGTTGGTCAGAACTAGGGCTGCACGATAAATCACATGCGATATTTAACGCGCATCTGGTCAGGAAGCCGGTTCTGTAATCAGCGGTAAATCTCCATCATGTGCGTGCTTTCACATGGAGCAGCATTAACTACACAGAGCCGTTGTTCACTGACAAGCT